TGGGCCAAGCAGCATCTTTTTAAAATGTGCTTATTTTATATGCTGTCTTTGGAGAATTGTTCATTCAAATTTCTTTTTCTAGTTCCTTCAGATATAAAGTTAGGCTGTTTATTTGTGTGGTTTTTTTTTTTTTTTTGGAGGTGGAGTCTTGCTCTGTTACTAGCTGCAGTGGAGTGGCATGATCTTGTCTCACTGCAGCCTCTGCCTCCCGGGTTCAGGCGATTCTCCTGCCTCAGCCTCCCAAGTAGCTGGGATTACAGGAGTGCGTCACTACACCCAGCTAATTTTTGTACTTTTTAATATAGAGATGGGGTTTCACCATGTTGGCCAGGATGGTCTTAATCTCTTGACCTCATGATCCGCCAGCCTCAGTCTCACAAAGTGCTGGGATTATAGGGGTGAGCCACTGTGCCTGGCTGTGATGTTTTGTTTGTTTGTTTTTCTTTTTCTTTTCTTTTTCTTTTTGGTGCCGTGACTCGGATACTAATATGTAAGCTTTTGCTATTACAAGCCTTGCCGTGACTCGGATACTAACATGTAAACTTTTGCTGTTGTAAGCCTCCCTCTTAGTACTGCTTTTGTTGCATCTCATAAATTAATGGTTTGTTGTGTTTTTGGTTTTGTCTCTGGATATTTAAAACATTTCTTTGTAATTTTTCCTTGACCCATTGGTTGGTTGGGAGTGAGTTAATTTCCACATGTATGGATTTTCCTGTTTTTCTTCTGTTACTGGCTTTTAGTTTCATTTCACAGTGATTAGATAAGATAGTTGGTATGATTTCAGTCTTAAATTTGTTCAGACAAATCTACCTTTTATATAATTTTAATGTGTATCTGAACTTTCATAATTTAATTCTGAAGACTTTTCTGAATTTAGTCTTTAATTTTCTAAAATATGTTCATGTCTCTTCAGCATATTTAAAATACTTTTGAAAATTAATAGACATTCTCTTTTAGAAGTTTTAGATTTGTAAAAAATTTGTGCAGGATAGCTAGTGTTCCCATATTCTAACCACCCCTCCAACTGCCGGTTTTCCCTGTTATTAATATCTTACATTAGTACAGTACATTTGTTGCAGTTAATGAACCAATATTGACACATCATTATTAACTAAAGATCATGATTTATTCAGATTTCCTTAGTTTTTACCCAGTGTTCTTTTCCTATTCCAAGATGTTCCAAGATATATTATGTCTAGTTGTTGTTTCTGCCTAAGCTTCTTAAGACTTTGTTTTTGATGACCTTATAAGGTTTTTGGTTTTTTTTTTAATACCTTAACAGTTTTGAGGAATATTGGTCAGACATACTGATGATCCTCTGTTGGAATTCATCTGATGTTTTTCTCTTGATCAGACTGTGGTTATGGGTTTTTGGAAGGATGTGTTACACTTGACTTTTAATATTCAGGTGTTTTCTTAGAATCCTGCTTGAAGCAAAACTAGTGGTGCCAACTACTTTTAAGTTTTAGCCTCTTTTTTTTGTATCCCTCTCCTACTTATGTAATATTCCAATTATGTTTTTTAGGTATAGATTTTAAAGTACTTTCTATCATACTTCTTTGTAAAATCCTTTTTAAAAAATATGTTTACTTGCTATTATCAAAAAGACAAAAGATAACAAATGTTGGCAAGGATGTGGAGAAAGGAAACCCCTGTGCACCTTGTTAGGAATGTAAAATAAACAGCCATTATGGAAAACAGTATGGTGGGTCCGGAGAAAACTAAAAATAGAATTATCATATGATACAGCAGTCTTACTTCTGGGTACATATCTAAAGGAATTGAACTGAGTATGTTGAAGAGTTATCTGCAAGTCCATGTTCATTGCAGCATTACTCACAATAGCTAAACTATGGAAGCAACCCAGGTGTCCATCGTTGGCTGAATGGATAAATGTGATATATATGCAGACAGAATACTATTCCGCCTGAGGATAGAAAAAATTCTGTTAGTTGTAACAACATGGATGAACCTGGACCTGGAGGACATTATGCTAAGTGAAATAAACAAGACACAGAAAGACACATAACCACCTAATCTAACTTACATGTAGAATCTAAAAAAGTTGAACTCATAGAAGTAAAGAGTGAAATGGTGTTTACCTGAGGCTGGGTTGGGGAGTGGATGGGGAAAGAGATGTTGATCAAATGGTACAAAGTTTTAGTTAGGAGGAATAAGCATTACAGAATGATGAAATATAGTAATAATGCATATATATTTCAAAATTGCTAAAAGAGTAGATTTTAAGTGTTTCACCACCAAAAAAAGTGTGTGAGGTGATGGATTTGTTAATTAGCATGAATTAATCATTTCACAATGTAAACATATATCAAAGCATCACATTGTATGCCATAAATGATAATATATACAATTACCTGTCAATTAAAAATTAATAAAATAAAAATAAAGTGACTAAAATGTGCTGGTTTGGTTTGTGGGCAACAAATGCAGTTAAAAGGTTTTTTTCAGATTTTGGGGGTTAACTACGAGCAAAGCGTGATAATATTAAATAGCTTAAGTAGAAGTTTGTATGTGTGTGGTGTTTGTATATGCCTATATTTTTTATTTTGGTAAAATACGCATAACAAAATTTACCATTTTAAAGTGTACAGTTCTGTGGCATTTAAATATGTTTATATTGTATAACCATGTATAGTTTTAAAATATGCATTGGTCCACTAGGACTGTCATAAAATACTACATACTGGGTGGCTTATACAACAGAAATTTATTTTCTCACAGTTCTAGAGACTGGAAATTCAAGATTAGGTTGTTGGCAGATTTTGTTTCTCCTGAATCTTTCTTTTGCAGATGGCCTGCCCTCTGTGTGTGCATACCTGGTGTCTCTTCTCAGAATGACACCAGTCAGGCTGGGTGCGGTGGCTCACACCTGTAATTTCAGAACTTTGGGAGGCCAAGGTGGGAGGATCACTTGAAGTCAGGAGTTTGAGACTAGCCTGGCCAATATGGTGAAGCCCTATCTCTACTTAAAAAAAAAAAAAAAAAAATTAGCCAGGCATGGTGGCAGGCGCCTGTAGTCCTAGCTACTTGGGAGGCTGAGGCACAAGAATCACTTGAACCTGGGAGGCAGAGATTGCATTGAGCCGAGATTGCACCATTGCACTCCAGCCTGGGTGACTCCATCTCAAAAAAAAAAAAAAAATGACACCAGTCTTCTTGAGTGAAAAGGCCTCATAAATTACCTTATTTAACTAGATTGCTGAAATGCCCTAGCTGTAATGTCATATTTGGAATGAGGGTTCAATATAAGAAATTCAGGGGTGATCCAGTTCAGTTTATAACATCTTTTATGTAAGGGTGCTTCCAGTTTATCTCCTTGAGAAGCTGCCATCTTCAGTATGTTAATTTTCTGTGGTTGCGCTAACAAATTACCACAAACTGGGTGGTTTAAAACAATAGAAATTTATTCTCTCACAGTTTTGGAGGCCGGAAGTTCAAAATCAGTAGTATTGGGCCAAAATAAACATGATAGCAGGGCTGTGCTTTTTCTGGAGGGAGACTTTAGAGGAGAATCCATTCCTTGCTTCTCCCTGATTGTGGTGGGTGCTGGGGTGCTAGCTTTCCTGGCTGTGGCCCATGTCCCTCCAGTCTTCAAAGCCAGCATTTTAAACTGTCTCTGCTATATCTTCTTATTTTTTGGAGACAGTCTTGCTCTTTTGCCTAGGCTGGAGTACAGTGGCACAAACTTGGCTCACTGCAACGTCTGCCTCCCGAGTTAAGGTGATTCTCCTGCTTCAGCCTCCAGAGTAGCTGGGATTATAGGCGCATGCCACCACACTTGGCTAATTTTTGTATTTTTTTAGTAAAGATAAGGTTTCATCATGTTGGCTAGGCTGGTCTCAAACACCTGACCTCAGGTGATCTGCCCACCTTGGCCTCCCAAAGTGCTGGGATTACAGGCGTGAGTCACCCTGCCTGGCCTCTCTGCCATTTCTCACTGCCTTCAGTGTGTGTCTCGTTCTTATAAGGATACATGTGATTGCTTTATGGCCCACCCAGGTAATTCAGAATAATCTTCCCTCTCTCAAGATTTTTAATTTAATCATATCTTCAAAGACTTTTTTTTTGCCGTATAAGGTAACGTTCTCAGGTTTCAGGGATTAGGGTGTGGATATCTTTTGTGGGACCATTTTTCGGTTTATTCTGCTCAGTTTATAGTAGACTTTTAATGTTCTTGCTTTGATTTTATAGTTTAGTTTTTATCAGGCCCCTATGTCCAGTTCTGGGTTGGTGGGAGTTGATGGTATCTCATCTTTTCTAGATACTATGCAGAGAATTCTAGGTTTGTGGTTCCAGGAAGACAAATCAGAGATGATAGTGAGTCTGGAAATAAAACAGTTGAAGTATTTTAGCTTGAGAATGGAGGTAGGTATGGTGGTGCTGTTTTTTAAAGAATAGAGAATTTAGAAGGATCACAAGCTAGTTTCAGGTAGGGGGAGGAGGAATGTGTAGAATTTGGGACATACTCAGTTTGCAGAACTTCTGTAATACGATAAAATTAGTAATGGTAGGTATATTTTTGGCAGATACATTTTCAGTGGATCGTTGGAGAAGTCACTTTATACTAGGTTGAGGATTAAATTGAAGCCGGAGAGTATTGTTACATTGTATTCTCTAGAATAACTATGCTTGGCATTTAGTATAGTAAGTACTTGATGAGTGTTGGCTATTATGATAATTACTATTAGTGTATACTTTTATGTGTTCCAATACTATAACATTTTTGTCTTAGCTTTTTGGTGTATGTCTTGATATGTACATAATATTAGATAAATATTGATTTAGAAAGGTATGTGCTTTGTTAATAAATATTTTAATTATTGCCATTGCCATGCTGTTAAAATTAGTGAAAACAAATTATTGTAGAATTTTTTAAAAAAAATTAGAAAGTTTTGATTTCTCATTTAAGTGGATTATTGTTTCTATAGTTACTCATGCCTGAAACAAAAAATTAAACATTGGTCTTTGTATTCTTTCAGGTTTGATTTAATTTTGGATGAGATCATTCTTGCAGCAAGATGTTAATAAGACAAAATCTAGGTAAGTAGAAGACTGCTTTGTTAAATGTACCTATCAAGGTAGGAATAATACAAAAAAATTATGTCTTAAAAACATGCTGTTGAGTTCAGAACCAAAGAGTTTTTAAATAAAATTTTGAGATGCAAATAACTGACTTTTAAACACACTTGGTCCAGTTGATTTGGTGGGAGTAAAATTATAGCTATCAAATTGTGGAACTAAAATTAGTTTCCTTCTTTTGCGTTCAGGTTAACTAAAGCATTTAAGTTTCCAGTAACTGTTATAACATGTTAGAAAATCAAGTTGATGTTTGGTTCATCCACGCTTAACTCTCACCAGTTCAGTAAGACATTTATTGTCACTTCATTGTTCTCTCCTTTGTTGATAAAGTATATGAATAGTCATTGCTTTTGTGAATTTTGCTTTCTTATTGTGGTTAAGGAAGCACTTTCCCAAATGGGTTAAATTTGCCAAATGGTGATTTCTTTCTGTTAACATAGTATTCAAAATTGTAAATTATTGTTTTAATGTTTTTCTAGTGTGTGTCTCTACTGAATGACCTTTCTAATATAGCATTCTGATTAGCTTTCTAAGGCTGTTCACTTTCAAAAAATTGAATTGGCATTATGTACTTTCTGTCTGATATGTGAAATAATGCTTTTTAGCAATATAAACCATTGACAAGTTTAAAAAAGATACATTTACTGTTTATTGGTAAGTGAATATGGCTTCAAAACAGAAACATGGGAAAAAGAATACTGAAAAAATTGGAGTTAATTTGGTTTTCCCTCTAACCAGATGTTTCACCTGTCAAACATTTGCTCATCTCAATGTTTGTTAAAGAGAAAAAAAGAAGCCTAGGATGAAAAGAGCTGTAGTTCAGTAATACGCACTTAAGGAAATCTCAGTCAGTGGTTTGGGCATGCTTTGAAGCAAAGTTTTCCTTTTATTGCTATTATATAATAATAATTGTGGTAGTTTGAAGAGCACTTATTGTGCTTTAAATTCTATTAAGTGCTTGTCATACCTTATTGATCATTATAGTACCATCTGTTGTTTGTTTTATAGAAAAATTTTAGTTTTTGCTTTATAGTAGGCTGTTCTTCTTTAGGAAGAATAATTTACTTTTATAGCATTTATTAGAAATAACATTTGCCTATATATCTTCTTAAAGTGAAGAAGCAGCCAGGCTTTTATACTTTAAGGCCTTATTAGGGATTTGTTTTTTAGTTGGATATATAGTGTCTGTTAGAGCTTTTGTTCTGATTTTCTGTTTGCTATTGCTTGCGGGATGACAGTGGTTTAATTTATTCTGGCCTTATTTTCTGCCACATTTATATGTATTTTTTCTTTTTTATTATGGTATACATATATATGGTAACATAAAATTTGAGGTATAGAGCTGAATGGCTTTTTACATGCACATTCATACATGTAACCACCATCTAGATTAAGATATAAAGCATTTCATTATTTCAGAAAGTTTCTTCTCCTTTCCCCACTTTCAATCCAGTAGGCTTCCCCCTGAAGTAATCATCTTTCTGAATTCTGTCAGCATACTTTAGTTTTGCCTGTTCTTGGATTTTATATGTAGTATGTACTCTTGTATCTGGCTTCTTTCATTCAACATAATGTTCTTGAGTTGCATCTGTGTTGTGAGTATATTAGCAATCATTATTTTTTGTTGCTGTTTTATTTTTGATAATATCCCCTTGTATGAACACACCACAAAGCATTTATGTTTTCTCTGTGATTTGGTTTATTGGCGTCTTTACATCTCTGTTCCTACTTGCTAACTTTTCTATACTCCTTTCCTTCTTCTACCTACCTCTGTCATTGTCCCCCATCACCTTTGGAATAAAATGTAGTAAACCGTATAACATGGCATGCAGTTATCTCACCGTCGCTATGCCAGAATGCTGTAGAATTATATGAATAAACTAAGTATGATGTTTCATACTACTAGTTCTAGTCCCAGGTACATGTCGTCACTTTCCCTCAACCCTATGCCTCCCCAGTTGCCAGTGCCCTCTCTGCTAGTCGACTGTCAGCTTATCTTCTGAAATGGCCTATCTGAAACGGCATCTGATCCTTTAAACCAGGTCTGACCATAGTTTGTCTTCTTTATTAGACTATGAGTTTTGAAGGTAGATACCATCCATGTCTCATTTATCTTAGCATAGTGCAGGGGATACTGTGTGCATTAAACATAGATCAATGAAAAAAGTTATTTTCTCTCAGGCAACTAGAGATTCAGAATGCTAGCTGGATCGGGATGGGGGCATTGGCACTTCAGTTGCTGTTAGGCCATAGGAAGGATCCACTGAGGAGAATCCAGAGACAGCATTATAGACATTTTAGGAAGAGAAATAAAATATTTCCCACATGTTCTTTCAATCCAGTTGAAATAAAATGGCTAGTAATGTTTTTAGTTCAGACCTAAAACAAAACTGTCATTGTTGATTTTGATTAGTATTTCCAAGTGGAGGTATTAACCCATGTTGCAGAATTTTGAAGTATTTGTTATCAAGAGTATTTTCTTTGTGGATTTGTACTAGTTATTTTTTTAATTTAAAGATTTTGAAAGGTGAGTTATACTAATACAAGTAGAAGATTGGGAACACAAGTCAAGTGTATAAGAAGTGAGGAAAACTTTTCCTCATTTCTCTGAAGGTAAAAAACTGTTAGGATGGAGGAAGAAATTCTAGAATCATAACCTGGAATTATGATAACATTTTTTATTCCCATAGCTTAGGAAGCTTGCTATTTGTTGAAAGTTATTTAAAATTTTTTTATCATTGTACATAATATAACATAACACCTTATACTTTTTTTTTTTTATTTTGAGATGAAGTTTCACTCTTATTGCCCAGAAGGGAATGCAGTGGAGCAATCTTGGCTCATTGCAATCTCTGCCTCCTGGGTTCAAGCAATTCTCCTGCCTCAGCCTCCCTGGTAGCTGGGATTACAGGCATGCACCACCATGCCTGGCTAATTTTGTATTTTTTTTTTACTAGAGACTGAGTTTCACCATGTTAAGCAGGCTGGTCTTGAACTCTTGACCTCAGGTGATCCACCCTCTTCGGCCTCCCAAAGTGCTGGGATTACAGGTGTGAGCCACTGCACCTGGCTGAAACAGTATACTTTCTTAAGGAATAAAACACTTTTTAAAATTTAAAACATTTTGACTACTGTGGTTTTTTTTTTTCCCCTGTGTTTGAAATTTGGGTAGTTGGGTTGGCTATAGTAATCATCTGGAGATTTTTATGTCTGTAACTTGATTGCCCTCTAGCAAGTCCAAAGCAAGAAGAAGTGCTTCCCCACTGGGATCAATTTGTTGCTTTTCCTTTCTGCAGCTTCTGCCATAATGTTTGAACACAGACTTGGACATTGACCTTTTCTCATGCTATTCATTCTGTCTTCCCACAAGGATTTTCTTAGATGTAGAACCTTGGTTCCTTTTTTTTTTTTTTTTTAAGACGGGGTTTCATCATGTTGGTCAGGCTGGTCTTGAACTCCCAACCTCAGGTGATCCTCCCGCCTTGGCCTCCAAAGTGCTTGGATTACAGGTGTGAGCCACCATGCCTGGCCTGGTTCTTTTTTTTTTTTTTAATCCTGGATGTGAAGTGTGCTTAGTCTTATTGTTTAGAGTTGAGGAGCCAGAGAAATTTAACTTTGAGATTGCCTGACATACATGTCTCCAAAAAGATTTTAGACTAATTTTTCTTCTCAGAGGCTGCTAGCTGTACCTCAGTTGCAGAGGCATCCTCTTCATTTTGTGTTTCAGTATTTCACATAGGCAGCAGCTGCTAAGCTTTTTTATACTGCAGAATCCCCGAATCCAAGGATTTCAAGTACTTTATGGATATTCATCTTAGATTAATTTCTCTAATTTCTAACTTAACCTCTCTGAGCTTGTTTCTTTAGTAGCACTGTAGATGTGCTGTCCTTTGTTGTAGCATGAAAAAGAAAATTTTTTAATGAATAAAATTATTTGTTCTTCATTATAGATGAGATTGTACAATGTAGATTGAGTCTTTCCAGTTGTATTGCCAAGTAACATATAGTATTTAGTATTTCACCTTTTTTTTTTTTAGACAAAGTTTTGCTTTTGTCACCCATGCTGGAGTGCAACAGTGCAATTTCAGCTCACTGCAACCTCCTCCCAGGTTCACAAGATTCTCCTGCCTCAGCCTCCCGAGTAGCTGGGACTACAGGGACATGGTGGGTAGCTGAGTAGCTGGGACTTCAGCCACCATGCCAGGCTGATTTTTGTATTTTTAGTAAAGACAGGGTTTCACCATGTTGGCCAAGCTGATCTCAAACTCCAGACCTCAGGCGATCTACCCACTTCAGCCTTCCAAAGTGCTGGGATTATATGTGTGAGCCACTGCACCCGGCCACATTTAGTGTTTTCAAAATTAATTTTTTAATAAAAGTCACATGTGACTATGTATGAGCAAATAGTACAGCGATGTTAAAGTAAAAAGTAAAACTCTTCCCTCTCACCCAGCACTGTACTCCCCATAGTTACCAAAAATAGCTGGTATGTATTCCACATCTTGATGCTTATCAATACATTTTGGACATTTTTGCATGTATGCACCACATTTAATTAACTCTTGCCCTATTAATATTTTAGGTAGATCTCAGAATTTTTTTTGCTTGTATATAAGTACTGCTGCAAAGAGTATTTTTGATGATATCAGCGGGAGTGTGTGAGAATGTCAGGATAATTTGTAGCAGTAGATTACTGGGTCAAGGATATGTGCACTTGAACTTCTGATAAAATAAAACTGCAATGAGATTGTACCATTTAATATTGTTTATGAGAATATCTGTTTTCTCATATTTTGCTAACTATTTGTTTTATCCTTGCTAGTCTAACTGGTGGAAAGTGGTATTTATTTTACTATGTATTTTTTAAGTTGTGAGAATGCTCAAAGGTTTGAAATATCACCTTCATTACAACTTAAATTTCATTGGAGAATATATATGAAAATTTTTATTTTTTACCGTTA